CTCATTTATCTGCAAACTGCCAGGGTACGTCCCTTCCCCACCCCCACCCCCCCCCCCCTCCTCCCCCGTGCCCCCCCCTCCCTGGCCCCCCATCCCCCCTCCCCTCCTCCACCCCCCCCCCCTCCTCCTCCCTCTACTACCACTACCACTACCACAGAACTGAAGGAGAGCCTCTACGAAGCATTTGCGCCATACGGGTCTGTGCTCGAGGTGGCGGCCAAGAAGTCGCTTCGAATGCGTGGGCAGGCCTTTGTCACCTTTGCCACGGTGGTGCAGGCGACTCAGGCCATGCAGAAGATGCAGGGATCGGTCTTCTTTGACAAGCCCATGCACATCGCATACGCAAAGGACAAGTCGGACGCTGCCGCAAAGGCAGAAGGCAACCTGGAGGCTCATCAGGAGGCCCGCAAGAAGCGCAAGGCCGAGGCCGAGGCTGCCGCTGCTGGCCAGATGCCCGAGAGCGAGGAAAACCCGGCGGCAAAGCGCCAGCACCGCTCCATGGCCGACTCGGAGGCCCCGGCCGCGGCCTCGGAGGCCTCGGCGCCGGTGGCGGGCTCGCTCATGCCGTCGCAGACGCTGCTGCTGCAGGATCTGCCTCAGGCGTGTGACACGGACATGCTCACCACCCTCTTCTGGCAGTTCCCGGGCTTCAAGACCGTCACCCTCCCGCCTGGTGACCGCCGCGTTGCCTTCGTCGAGTTTGAGGACGTTGCCCAGGCCTCAGTCGCACACACCTCTATGCAGGGCTTTGACCTGCAGGGCTCCAAGCTTGCTGTTACCTTTGCTCACTCGGCCTAGAACAGCTCGAGCCCCCCACCGCTGCTCCCCAGGCCGCCGCCGCCGCCGCTGCTGCTGCTGGCGCTGCTGGCTCCGGCGGCCTCGATGGTTGCAGCTCCTCCGTCGGCCTCGCTCTCTTGCTCCGGCGGGAGATGAAGCTCGTCGATGCACACCCGCGTCCGCTTGATCTTAAATCCGAGCCGCTTACCCGTCAACGCCGACGCCGCCGTCGACCGCAGCGCCGGCAGGGAGACCAGGTCGAAGAATCCGTGCATCGGCGGGTCAAACAGCCGCGCCAGCCGCGACCCGCTGGCAAACGTTGTCAGCCGCACACACAGATCTGCACTCGCTACAACCTGCGCGCTCGCGGAAGGCCCCAGCCGCGCCAGCTCGGCGCTCACCCACACCACTCCCGAGCCGTACGATCGGACGAGCGCACCCAGGCTAAACACAAACCGCACCTGCTCCGCCACCGACGCCCGCAACCGCGACTTGTCCCCGAGCCCGACCACCGCCACGCGCCCGACCACACCATCAGTCTTGCACCGTGCGAGGAAGCTTGCTACAGCCAACCGGCACGCCTCCAAGCCATCGCCGTCGGCACCATCCAGGTCAAACCCGTCGACTCCAACAGCGGCCACTGCCTCAGCTCCGGCACGAGCTCCGAGATCAAAGCGGTGGACAAAGCCTCCATCACCAGCTCGAGCGCTGCTTCCAGCTGGCGTGGCCGACGCGGCCGCCTCGCGGGCGTACTGCTTGTACTGCCACGCGATGCGGAGTTCATCATCGCTCACGCCCGGTGGGGCTTTGCGTGACCGCACCTTGCCGCCTCCCGCACCGTCTGTCCGCGGCTCGTCCGGCAGGGCGGTGTACGAGCCAGGGAGGGCGGCGGCAGCGACAGCGGCGGGTGCTGGTGAGGCGAGGAAGAGCGGCTGGCGGGCGTCGGCAGCGGGGCCACGCAGCACGCTCTGGGCGGCAAACAACCGCAACAGCGTGCTTGCTGATGTTGCTCGTGGCGTCACCTCGTCAGCCACCACCATCGAGCCCAGGACGAGACCACCGCCCAGGACGGCGTCCACCTCGTCGGCGCCCGACGAGACCAGCATATGGCCCGAGAGCACAGACGGTCGGCTCCCGGGCGCGAGCACCTTGGCCCGCTTCGACTTGCGCGCTCGCGGCTTGAATGACGACATGTCTACCTGGTGTGCAAGGGTGTGAAAGTGGTGTGTGTCGTTCTTGCTCCTCCCTACTCGATCCTGCCCGGCCAAGTCGACCACGGTCAGCTCGTCACGGATCGACCAAGGTTCCCCCCCCACCAGGTTGATCCTGTTCGACCGGCACTCGGCCAAGTCGATCGGCTAGAACCCGGCATACTCAACATGTCTTCAAAGACTTCATTTCAAGTGTTCATGATGACTAGCTCGATGAGCTCGACGATCCGGACTGAGAGCTCGATGCCGAGGCGGTTGGTGCTGTGGCAAGGCCCGGTGGCGGCATCGGCGGCGGTGCGATAAAGACGTTCGTTCCCGAGTCGGCCTCCCAAGTCGCGGCGGCCTCAGTGATGGCCAGGTCCGAGAGCGCCGGGTCTGAGATGACTGCGGTGTGTGCCTCAGACGATGAGATAACAGTGGTGGCCGGCGTCGCAGCCACAAAGAACTGGTCGTTGATGGCCATGCGCTCGCCCTCGCCCTCCCCTATCATCGCCATCTCAGTCCCGAGCACGCCGGTGGCATGCGCGGCCTTCTCGGCCCACTCCTCCTCACGGCGGAGGACCACAAAGTCGTAGGCAACGCCACCGAGAATGGCGAGGACATTGATCGAGATCGAGACAATGAGCATGATGTCACGGACAAGCGCGTCCTCGATGGCAACTGCCCAGAGGACCGCTGTGCACGAGGCGAGACAGACAACGGCAAGAATGTTGTGCTGCTTGCGCGCGTACGGCTGGAGGAAGGCAAGATGAGCGAGGGCAATGCCGAGGACACCGCGGGTGATGGCGGCGCGCGCCGAGACCTGGGCGAAGATGGTGATGGCCATGACGACGCCGAGCTTGCGGATGAGAATGGCAGCCTCGTACCACCACGCATGGTCCATGAACCGCCCGACGAGAAAGCCAAACTTGAGGACAAAGAGGAACGGATCGAGCGATGAGCGCTTCGAGCGGAGGAGTGCGACGACAAAGACCGGGAGCCCGACGCCGTACGCGGCCACAAAGAGGAGTGCGACTGGGAAGATGCTCCAGTAGAACGAGTCATAGCACGCGTTGGTCGGCGCGTCCTCGATGTGGTACATGCCCTCCTTGTCTTCGCGGCAAGCAAAGAACGAGAGCGCCATCGCGGTCAACGGCAGGTAAAGCAGGACGAGTGCCTGGTAGTAGCCACGAATGCACGCATCCTTGATGGCCGCCGGCGTGAGAATGTTGGCGTCCTCGGCCTCTTCCAGCGCCGCTTCCCGCCGCTTGGCGATGCGCGGCAGGACCAAGAAGCGAATGAGGAAGCCTACGACAACAAAGATGAGCGCAAAGATAATTGTTGATGACATGATAAGAAAGTACTTGACAAAGTAGATGCGGTCGGTGTTGGCCAGGCACTCGGGCGAGGTCAGGTCGAGGTTGAGGTTGATGAACGAGATGCCGTCGAGGAATGCAGTTGCAAACGAGGACCACTGCATGTTGAGCCGGCCGTAAATGGCCGAGATCTGCAAAGAGTTGAGTCCGATCATGACAGCGGCAAACTTGTACACTGATCGCTGCTGGGTGTTGAACCAGACAAGGAAGCAGACGAGGACAAAGGCGCCGATGAGGAACATGGCAATGAGCGGGCCAGACTGTCCGCGGCACTTGTGGCATGTCTCGCCGATGACAAAGTAGTCTTGAGCGCAGCGGCCACAGAACCGTCCGGTGTAGCCTTCGGCGCAGCGGAAAGGCTCGCCGCCTGCACATGCCGACGGGTTGGGGCACTCGAGGAAGACGCCCGGGTCTTCTGTGGGGAACGAGCCCGGGAGTGCCACCGGAAGCGCCAGGCCTCCGCGGCACGATGCGCCGGCCGGGCACGGCACGCAGCCGGCTTCGACCATGATCGTGGCACTGCGAGCCCAGAATCCGCGCTCGCACACACATGCCCCGCCGGTGGTTGCAATTGCCAAGCTCACGTTGCCCGATTCGGACGCAAGGACCGCGGTGTTGGGCGGGCAGAGCGTGCACGAGGTCGACCCTTCGACAAGCGCAAACTGTCCGACCGGGCACGGAATGCAAGGCGCAACAGAGGGTCCTTCCGAGTATGTGTTGCCTGGGCAGAGCCCGCACCGCACAAAGCTGGAGAGCCGCGCGTCATCGGTCCGTCCGCGCCCGGCTGGGCATTGCGACACGTTCACGTTCCACTTGTAGTTGGGCAGATCGAGGGCAAAGCCAGCCGGCTGCGAGAGCCCGGCCTCGAGCGCGACGCTCACCTGCGAGTTGGCTGAGAGGATATTCGCAGCGCCCTCGACCAGGACGTTGGCAAATGAGATGACGTCCGAGGTGAGGAAAAGCGCTGCAGTCGTCGAGAGCTGGGCCGCCGACGCACCATCACCGACGATCTTGAGCTCGAGCGACGTCGCCCGGTCGGTGATTGCCACGCCAAAGACATCGAGGAGAGTGAATTGGACGCCAGTCAAACCCTCGCCCGAAATGAGCTCGGCTACCGGCGCCACGATTCCTGCCGACGGCACAAACGCGAGCTCAACGCCTGGTGAACCCTTGGAGCCGCCCAGATCGGTACCAGCCATGGCCACCCACGGCGCGACCGCGTTGGGCGCATCGTCACAGGTGGCGAGACCCGGCGCGGGCGGGCAGACAAAGAGCGCGTTTCCACGACCGACGGCAGCATTGCCTGTCATAGCAACAGGCGCTGCACCTGACATCGGAAGTTCACAAACAAAGGCGAGGCCGCCGTACGCGGCATTGTTGTTCTCAACGCTGGTTGTGCCCGAGAGCTGAAGGCCGAGGCTTGAGACGTCGCGATGTGCACAGGCGCGGGCCGAGACAGACGTCGACGCCACCAAGGTTGGCAGCGGGAGGTCCGGCAGCGCGTCGGGCGAGGCCTTGGCGGTGGTGGCAAAGGCGCCGCCCCAGGCGACAGCAGCGTTGTCAGCGACCGAAACGTCGACGACGGCGACGGTAGCGGTCTCGCCGCGGATCCGCAGCCCGCCGCCACCGCGCTCGGCAGAGTTGGACATGATCGTGCCTGACGCGAGGCGAGCGTCAACGCTTGCGCCAGACTGGCTAGCGGCAAGAGTCATGGCACCACCGTCGCGCCCGGCTGTGTTGGACTCGACATTAAAGTCGGTGACCGAGACGTTGATGCTGGCACCGGCCGACGACGCGTCGGCATAAATGGCGCCGCCGTCGAGAACTGCCGAGTTGCGGACAAGTGTGACGTTGTTGAACGTCGCAACGACAGCCGAAGCGCCGGCGCCCGACATGTAGATGGCGCCGCCTGAGCCGCGCCGGGCGACGTTGTCGGCAAAAGAGACCCGGTTGAGCGAGGCAAACGAGCTCTGCTCGATGACGGCAGCGAGGAAGAGGGCACCGCCATCGTCAGCAGTGTTGCGCGAAAAGTGAACGTCTGTCAGCTCCACAACAAGCGCGTCGTTGATGGCGAGCGCGCCGCCGAGCGACGACGCAACGTTGCGCTCAAAGGTGACGTTGCTGGCCTGGATGGAGGCGCCGGCGAGAACGGTGACGGCGCCGCCGGCTGACTGGAGCACCAGCGGCGAGATTGGCGCCGAGTGGAGGCAGTCGGAGAAGACCATGTTGCGGAGGATAAGGGAGGTACGGGCGCCCGAGGCCGAGAGCGCGGCGCCGCCCGAGGTCGAGGTGGCGACCGCGACGCGGGCGCCGCGGATGTGAATGCCATCAAATACGACGCGGGCACCGCCCGAGACCGCAAACAGATAGCGCTCGTCAGGCGAGACCGGAGCGGTGCAGTCGAGGACGACCGAGCCGGGGACGCCGTTGAGCGGGCGGAGCTGGACAAACTTGGTCAGCGAGTACGGCTTGTAGCGGAAGCAATTGTGGTAGGTGCCTGGCGGGAGGAGGATGGTGTCCGAGTTGCAGGTGCCGGCGGTGAGGAGGGCCTGGCCGATGCAGTCGATGGTGTACCCGCACCGCTCGACAGGAACAGTGATGCTGGTGCTGACGTCCATCCGCGACCAGAGCGAGTTCTGCAGATGGAGCTGCAGCGACGAGGTGAGCAGGTTCGAGGCGACAATGTCAAGGGCACCGTCGACGTTGTAGTCGACGAGGGTGATGCCTCCCGAAACAAACGAGTTGTCCGGTAGCGGGACGAGCGGCGCAGCCGAAGCAAACGATCCCGAGCCGAGGCCACGGAGCCACTCAATCGAAGACGACGTGGTGAACGAGAGGACGACGTCGACGTGACCGTCGCGGTTGCAGTCGCCGACGACAGCATCGACCAGGCCCGGTCGAGCCGAGACCAGGTACGAGCTGCCACTGTATGCGGGTGCAGCAGCGTCGACATTAGCGTGCCAGGCGACGTAGCCTGCGCCGCCGTAGGTGATGAGCATGTCGTCGATGGCATCGCCGTTGAGATCGACAACGTCAAAAGCTGTGACTGCAGCCGAGAAGAACGGCGAAGAGCCCGAGGCCGCGAGAGATGCCAGCGGATTGATTCCGTAGGGCGCGACAGGCGAGCCGAGTGCGAGGTAGACCTCGCCGTTGGCGCGGATGTACGCGACGTCGGTCGCTGAGTCGGCGGCCGGGTTGGCAGAGAGCGGGCGGGCAAAGAGAGTGTCGTTGAAGAGCGGGGCGAGGATGGTCGGCTGGGTAGCAAACATCAAGTATCCTGGCTGGGCGAGATTGCGGTTGTAGATGATGGCCACAAAGCGGGTGGTGGTGTTCCGTGAGTCGACACAGAGCACGTCGTTGAGGGCCGAGTCGGCGTCTGCGCTGCCGTCGAGATCGGTGAGGGTGAGATCGGAGCAAATAAAGGCAAACGACATGTAAGACTCGAGCGGCGGGAAGGAAAAGGGCTCCACCGAGTTGGGCGCATTCTCAGCCCAGGTCGTGAGGTGGCCAAGGACGCCAGCAGGGACGGCGAGCGAGGCCGCGGCGTCAACGAGGCCGTCGGCGTTGACGTCGCCTACGGCGATGCCGCGGGAGAGCGAAAAGGCCGGGAGGACGACAATGTCGTCAACACACTTGGTGTTGTCAGCAAAGCAGATGACAACCGACGGGTCTTCGACTCCGCGGTAGAGGAGGTCCGGCACGCCGGCGGCATCGGTGTCGATGATGAGGCGGATGGCGTTTCCGGGCGTGAGCGAGCTGAACGACGAGGGCGGGGCAAAGGTCGGGGTAACACCCGGATACTGAGCGGCATCGGGGACCTGAAACACAATGTGCCACGAGTCAAAGGTGGGGACGGCAAGCGTAAAGGTCGAGACAAGGATGTCGGGGGCCGAGTCGCCGTTAAAGTCGGCAACGATGGTGCGGTACGGCTCAAAGAGGCCGACCGACGGGTTGGCGTAGACGACCGGCGGCCGGCCGGCGGCGGCACCTTCAAACGACGGCGAGACCGAGAGCGAGGCCGATGAGAGCACGATGTCGAGGTTTCCGTCGCCATTGACGTCTCCGGCCTCGAACCATTGGCCGACGCCCGAGTCGGCAAGCGGAAAGTCGAGGATGGTCGGCTGCGGGTCAAAGGTGCCTGGCGCGCCGGGCGTGTTGAGATGCAGCGTCTGGCCGATGCGGCCGAGGGTGCGGGCAAGGACAGCAAAGTCTGGCAGGCCGTCGACGTTGACGTCGAGGGCAATGACGCGGATCGGCTCGAGAAGGCCAAATGCAACCGGGCGGGGCGGGAGAAAGGCACCGGGCGTGCCGCTCGTCATAAATGTCATAATCTTGTCAGTGTACGGCGACGAGGCGACCATGTCGAGGTGGCCGTCAGCATTGAGGTCGGCGACAGCGACGGTGGCGTAAGATGGGTAAAAGTAGTCGAACTGAGGCGCAGGCGTAATGAGGCCGACAAGCGAGGCTGTCGCCTCCATACTAGTACCGGTGAGGCGGACCCAGTGAACGGTCTCGTTGCCTGCAGTGAACGGAGTGAGGGTGAAGACAATGTCATCAATGCCGTCACCGTCAACGTCGCCAAACACCATGTGACGGACAATGCCGTTTTCGACAACGGCAGTCGAGGGGGCAAACGCACCGCCGAGATTGATGTGCAACTGCACCGACGGCGACGCACCGCCGATGATGAGGTCGTCGAGACCGTCGCCGGTGACGTCGGTTGCCAGGATGGCGAGCGGGAGCGAGGGCGGGAAGGCGGTGAGGCCGCCATAGGGAATGTAGCCAGCAAGACTAAAGCTAATATTGGCATTGTCAGCAGAGTGGCGGTAGATGATGACTGAGGCGTTGAAGTAGTTGACGGTGGCAATATCGGGGTATCCATCATTGTCCGCGTCCAATATCGCCGCGTCGATGCCAAATCCAGCCTGGTTGGTCACTGTGGTTAGCGGCGACCGCAGTGTAGCGGCAACAGCGTTCTTGGCCTACAATAGCGCAGTGGCAGGAGAAGGGAGGAGGCAAGGATGTGAATGAATGACGAGGGTGAGAGGGAAGGGAGGGGGGGAGGGATGGATGGAGGAAGGGAGGGGCGTACGGTACGGGTGCAGGCATCAAGGGCGTAGCCGTCCAATGTAGACTGAGGCGGTGGAGCCAATGCGCCGCAATAAGTGGCGAGCACGAGAACGGCGGCGCCAACGAGAACAGCCGCAACTGTGCGGGTAAGCATGGTAGCGCGAAGGGGGGGGGGAGGGGGGAGGAGGGTGAAGGAGGAGGGCGAGGTGCAAGAGGGGATCCTAGGAGGTAAGGGGATTAAGGGTTGAGGGTGGGAGTGATCTGCTGGAGAGCAATGCCTAGGAACGCTGTTGTTATGGTGCTGGTGCTGGGGTTTCTGGGCTATTGCGGGAGTTGGTTGAACAAGGTGAGTGGTGTGCACATGGTGGTACGTTTGTGCGCGAATTTGGCACTCGGCGTAGGTGCGGAGGTGCGGAGAAGGAATGAAACAAGAACGAATGGGAATTGAACTCGTTTAGGGCATGAAGGGGTGGGGAGAGTGAAGAACGATGAGTCTTTGTTTTCGCATGGGCTGGGGTGGGTCTCGGAGGGGCTGCGGCTACAACTGGGAGCATTGAGGACGGGGTTGGCGGACGGCTGCGGTGAAATTTTGCACGTTGACTCGCGTCATCCGCCGTATCCCACGTTGCGGTATGGAGAGCAAAAGGCCAGGGTGCGGAGCAGAGAGGGAGAATGAGAAAGGGATCAATTCCACAAGGGGGTCGAGTTTGGGGCCTGACCAAGTAGTGATGGCGGCAGGTGGGCGAGATCTGCAGCCACAGGCAGCAACCGCAAACGTGCTCGCTGCTGGCTAGTGCCGAGTGATAGCATCTACTTGCCTCGCGATCGGACGATGATGGTGTACAGGCGTGCGAGGGCCGACATGCAGGGCCACGTACCGACGACAGCCGCCGCTGTCGTTGGCTGAGCCATCGTCACACAGTGGCCGGAATCCGCCTCCCCCCCCCCCCCCCCCCTCCCCTCTCCCCGAGTTGCCTGGCACTCGACTCGACGGTGGAGCACACAGGAGTTACGATGAGCAGCGGGATGTCATCCCGTGAACGACGAGCTGCCCGTGACGTGGTTGGCTCTCGCATGAAGATGTATGAGGTACGTGTTGTGGACATGGTTCGGGAAGTGGGGGGGAGGGGAGGGGAGGCGAGGCGAGGAGGAGGAGGGGCTGGTGGTGGAGGGCGAGGGAGAGGCAGGCGTTCACTTCGACGACTTCGATGGACGACTGATGGGAATGGAAAGGGAATGGAAGGATAGTCTGCGACCAAGGTGACGCTTGATCCGACGCAGCCGTGGATGGTCCGTGCAGATGGTCACAGCTTCTCCAAGTTTACCAAGGGTCTGGTCAAGCCGTTTGACTCGCGGCTGTCAGCGGTGATGGTGGCGACCATGCTCGACACGGTGGCCAAGTTCAACGCCCTCACAGGATACACACACTCGGACGAGATCACTCTGGTCTTTGGACCGGCCGACGTCGAAGCCGGGCAGACGCTGGCGTACAACGGAAAGGTATCGAAGATCGTCTCGCTTGTCGCCGCGTACATCTCTGTCCGGTTCAACGCACACATGCTCGCCTACGACTGGTCCGATCTGAGCGAAACCACCCGAGTCGGGATCCTTGCCTGCGAGGCGCACTTTGATGCCCGCGCCTTCTCGGTTCCACACGCTGCCGAGGCGTGGGCCAATCTGTTGTGGCGATCGAACCACGACTGCCGCCGGAACTCGGTCTCGATGCTCGCGCGGGTCTACTACTCGGCCAAGCAGCTGCACGGCATATCAACCCGCGACGTCCTCGCCATGCTCGAGGATGAGCACGGAGTGGCGTGGGAGGCCCAGCCGCGGTTCTTCACCCGCGGTACCGTGGCCAAGAAGGAGCTATACGACATGGCCGCCATCGATCGCAAGACCGGCGAGGCCGTCGTCGCCAAGCGCTCGCGCTTTGTCGCCCGCGCCTTTCCGCTCAGTGATGACTCGTCTGCCGCCATGGCCGATCTTGTCCTCGCCAAGTACTGGCCTGACGACTTTGATCCACAGCGCGCCACCGTTGTCGACGCTGCCTCCATCGCCGCCTCGGGCTTTGTCCCTGCCTGATGGCGTTGCATAGTAAAGGCCAGCACACTTCTCGCACACCATGGGTAGACGTCGTCGCGATGGCGCGCCTGCCGCTGATGCGCCCAACTCGTACGCGGCGTTGCTCGCGGCCAAGCGGGCGGCGAGCGAGACGGTGAGCGAGGTGGCGAGCGAGGCGGTCAGCACTGAGGTCGAGGCCGAGGTCGAGGTCGGTGGCGAGAGCGTCGTCGTGGCCGCAGCTCCGCTTCCGCCTCAGGCCGAGGTGGTGGCGGCGGCGGCAGAGGCCGAGGAAGCTGCCAAGGCGGC